GTTTGTAGTAGTTTGGCGACTGTTTTCAGCCTTGTAACGTTTTGATAATGTTTGTATTTTCTTTGTCAAATCCAGTTTTCACGTGTATACTTTATTTTGCCCCGTAGTATATATTCCCGTGCACATTTTTGTTTGTTTATTTGCTTGTTCTTTAAACGCTGCACTCGGCTGTATAACAGGTATATGACGGCCTGTAAATAATCGAGTCTGGACCAGATAAACCGGTGATTTATATTAATTATAACCAAAGCTCCATGTCGCCTGGCAGTGTGCGTGCGTGCATGCATGCATGCGTGCGTGCGTGCGTGCGTGCGTGCGTGCGTGCGGGCATGTGTGTGTGTGATCACAAGCGTCAATGGAAATAAAGTGAGTTGAAAAAAAAACATTTGATAGTTTTAATCCTCAAGCCCTGGTGTACACATGCCCTGGGCTTGTAAATTAGAAGTAGCTGTACATGTATGTTGAACTTCTACTGTCGTGTTGTTGAGTGTGCTCTGTCACGTACGTGAACAGAGGTCAGGTCGAGCGTGACATGGGAAGCGTGACTGGACATTACGTTAACAAAATTTTAATATATAAATGGGATCTGTACCGTTACATTTGTACCGTTAAGTACGTGAGTGAACATATTTAACACGGGCGGATGATGATCATCGTGTATCAATGTCAGCTGGCATGCAGAAACTGGTAGGATATTGCTATGTACAACTGACAACGGCTAGTATCTAATTCCACAGCCCCTGTGTCGAATTTCTTCTTTTTTTACAAACATATCTCCCTATAAGTGTGGAGAACCCTACATTTTTTAAGCAACTATCTCCTCCGACTTCGATCCCTTACGGGATGCACTAACTCCCTTCAGTACGGTAATACCCTCGCAAAGCACCATTTCCACTCAAGTTAACGAGTTTCTTAATCTATAATAACCCACTCCTTATTATTGCGACTAACGGGATCGGGTGGTCAGACTCATTCACTTGGTTCCGCACTTACATCGATGCTCATGATATCAATCATTGGATTGTCTGGTCCACACACTATTCTTTACAGACCGCCGTTATACAGCTGGCATATTGCTGAGTGCGGCGTTAAACCAAAAAACCAAAACAAACAATATCATTATATCGGGAGACAACCAAGTAAACGAGTCTGACCTCCCGATCCCCTTAGTCGCCTCTTACGACAAGCATAGTCGCCTTTTACGGCAAGCATGGGTTGCTGAAGACCTATTCTACCCCGGATCTTCACGTGTCGCCTAGAATGGTAAAACTATGTGATAAACTGCCGAGCAACAAAACGTTAACTCCAATATCAAATTGAAATAAACAAAACATGGAACGGGTATCATAGTTGTTATAGACCCTTACCTGTGCAGCGTTTCGGCGACTGTTTTCAGCCTAGTCACATTTTGATAACGTGTGTACTTCTTTTGTTATTATCAGAACCAATTTTCAAGTGTATACTTTCTTTTGCCTGTCAGTTTAGTAACTACTGAATATTATATCATAATGTATGTCTATTAGTAATATATTTTCTTACATCAAATTACATCCACCTGTTTAGACAAAGATTCTCCGAGTCACTTCCTCCCTCAACAATTACCATTCTTAATTTAATGTAAATTTAAAATGTTTACGCCAGAACGTAATCGTTTCGATTATCCACCGAAAAAGATTATAATGGGAGCAAAAGGAAAAATAGTGATGAAAAATTATATGAATGGATAACTGAAACAGATTATATTGGGCGCAAAAGGAAAAATAGTGATGAAAAATTATATGAATGGATCACCGAAACAGATTATATTGGGCGCAAAAGGAAAAATAGTGATGAAAAATTATATGAATGGATCACCGAAACAGATTATATTGGGCGCAAAAGGAAAAATAGTGATGAAAAATTATATGAATGGATAACTGAAACAGATTATATTGGGAGCAAAAGGAAAAATAGTGATGAAAAATTTTATGAATGGATCACCGAAACAGATTATATTGGGCGCAAAAGGGAAAATAGTGATGAAAAATTATATGAATGGATCACCGAAACAGATTATATTGGGAGCAAAAGGAAAAATAGTGATGAAAAATTATATGAATGGATAACTGAAACAGATTATATTGGGAGCAAAAGGAAAAATAGTGATGAAAAATTATATGAATGGATCACCGAAACAGATTATATTGGGCGCAAAAGGAAAAATAGTGATGAAAAATTATATGAATGGATCACCGAAACAGATTATATTGGGCGCAAAAGGAAAAATAGTGATGAAAAATTATATGAATGGATCACCGAAACAGATTATAGTGGGCGCAAAAGGAAAAATAGTGATGAAAAATTATATGAATGGATCACCGAAACAGATTATATTGGGCGCAAAAGGAAAAATAGTGATGAAAAATTATATGAATGGATCACTGAAAATCAGTGATGACACCAGGTGTTCGCGAAAGTGAAAGCACGATCTGCTCCACCGGTAGCACCGCCACTCAAACCATTTGCATAAAAAGTAACAGTTTGTTTGTTGCCTCACGCCGCACATCAGTGCACGTACCATGCGACATACCTTTTCGTCAAGCGTCTCGATGGACGCTAATACTGATGCGCTTGTATTGACTTGGGGCTTCATTTCCTCGTGCGATCGCCTTCTTGGTTTATTATCACACGTCTGGAGCTGTTTACTGTTTGTTAGTGTTTAAGAGGCAACGTTCGCATGAATGGCTAGGTTAAAGTCGTTAACTAAATCGACCATGAAAAACAACATCGGAACGCGTGATGGGAAAGGAAAGGGGGTGATGGTCGCGACTTGCACATACCTGTGGCGGGCGACTTGGTCGGTATAATGTCACGTTAATGTTGTAATAATGTGTGTGTAGACGTGGAAAGAGGCTATAAAACAACGCAATTGGACCAATATGGACTTGATAATTAACACATGCTGTGTCTACCCCGTTCTGTAAAACAGCGTGGTGCTGTTATGGCCAGTGTGTCAGTATATTATGTCTTCAGCGTATCGATATACATATGCCTACATACCAGCAAATACACGATCAATAATAAACTTACACATTGCAAATATATGCAAATGTATTGCTGCTTACATCTTCACGTACAAACATGAAGCTGCCTGATTTTGTATACACATAAAACTATACGTACGTACATATACATAACCTACACATACAAACGTATACAGATATATCTACCTACATATACATATACCCACCTACATATGCATACGTATACATATATATCTACCTAAATATACATACGAATACAGACATATCTACCAACATATACACATGCATAACCTACGTATACATACGTATACAGATATAGCTACCTACATATACATACATATACAGATATATCTACCTCTATGCACATACATATACAATATATCTACCTCTATGCACATTCATATACAGATATATCTACCTCTATGTACGTACATATACAGATATATCTACCTCTATGCACGTACATATAAAGATATATCTACCTCTATGCACGTACATATACAGATATATCTACCTCTATGCACATACATATACAATATATCTACCTCTATGCACATTCATATACAGATATATCTACCTCTATGTACATACATATACAGATATATCTACCTCTATGCACGTACATATAAAGATATATCTACCTCTATGCACGAACATATACAGATATATTTACCTCTATGCACGAACATATACAGATATATCTACCTCTATGCACGAACATATACAGATATATCTACCTCTATGCACATACACATACAGAATATATCTACCTCTATGCACATACATATACAGATATATCTACCTCTATGCACATACACATACAGAATATATCTACCTCTATGCACATACATATACAGATATATCTACCTCTATGCACATACATATACAGAATATATCTACCTCTATGCACATACATATACAGAAATATCTACCTCTATGCACATACATATACAGATATATCTACCTCTATGCAGATACATATACAGATATATCTACCTACATATACATACATATACAGATATATCTACCTACATATACATCCGTATACAGATATATCTACCTCTATGCACGTACATGTACAGATATATCTACCTCTATGCACATACATATACAGATATATCTACCTCTATGCACATACATATACAGATATATCTACCTCTATGCACATACACATACCTACATATACATCCGTATACATATATGTCTACCTATATGCACATATACATACCTGCATATACATACAAACATAGATATATCTACCTCTATGCACGTATACGTATACACGCATAAACTTACTTACATATACACGCATATGCATATACCTACCTACATATACACATGTACCAACACATATCTACCTACATATACAAAATGCATATACCTACCTACAAATACACGCATATACTAACTTACATATACACGTATATGCAATTACCTACCTACATGTCCCAACACTTATCTACCTACATATACACATATATGCATATACCTACCTACAAATACACGCATATACTAACTTACATATACACGCATAGGCATATGCCTTCCTACATATACATATGTACCAACACATATCTACCCACATATACACATTTATGCATATGCTTAACTACATATACGCGCTTATTCTTATACCTGTAGGACATAGTGAGTATACGCGTATACACGTTTTATTGTGTGCCTGTATGTGTTTTCGCTTTTTGTTATGGGGTTTCTACAAACACTAACTGTGTACTTACACACGTATACTCCGAGATGATGCTGTTGCATCCGCCGCCACAATACGGAGCTCAGCTGTGTATTAAACCCGTGGCGGATATTTCCCGCATGTGTCTGATACACCTACAACAATCTTGATAAAACCGAAGACATCGACACGGATATAGTTTGAAAGTTAGAAGAGGGAAATCTGGGTTTGAGATTTGTCGCGGGGTTTAGGGATGGGGGGGGGGGGGGGGGGGGGTATGATCTCCCTAACTGTGTCACTGTCGACTGATGCAAGGCCTAGCAGACCGATTCTGTACCTGTTCCACTGCTTCAAGGCTGGCCGTCTCACCCTCCTTACGGTTCCCGGGACTGTGGTGGGATAGCGTAGTTGGGTAGTAGGTAGAAGCTAGGCTTCTGATCAGTAGCAGAGATGATCGGTAACACTGTTAATAACGGACCAAGAGGGATGGAGAGAGGGAGGATGGTTGTGTGAGGGAGCGAGAGAAGAGGAGGGGGAGCCGACCGAGCCTGTTGGAGGAGAGACACGTGGGAACACACATCCACAGACAAGCGCTGGTTTGTAATCGGGAACTGTGTTAATGTAGCCTTCCATCACTCAGGGCCGGACAAGACTGGACAAACATTCCTGGGAGGGCTGAGAGGATACTGCGGTCAGCTTGGTCCTGTCTCGGCCAGTGGTCAGCCGAATCTCTTCGGACCAAGGGCGCTGGTTACTTCGTGTTCCTTTAGACAGGAACTGTATCGCGCAGGTTGTTTGTTCGGAGTTCGATCTTCTCTAAGCCGACGGTTGAGTGTGTCAATGTTTGAGGTAAGGCAGGTTGTTGTCTTGGCGCGGCTGTTCAGTGTTCTCGTCCGGTGTTTGTTCAAACGAAGACAATGACGATCTCGCGTGGAAGCAGCTTTTACTCCCGCCACAGAACCACGACCCATGTGTGACCTAATCCACAAAATGGATGATATATCAGCCCCGGACTGGCGTTGTGCGATGTTGTGACGACGACATCTATTGATACGATGCACGACATCATGCCACAGCGATACGCACCGTCTCGATCTGCAGAGTAGCGAAAAGGCTAGTCACGTGACTGTCAACACTCCGGAGAGTTACATTTATCCACCACGGCTCATTAGTCGACGGACCAGGTAGGAGTAACCGTATCGCATTCCACATGGTCGTGCATAGGCTTGGCAGAGTGGGTGAGGTCGCACGGTCACTGTACGATGGGGCAGGCGTTGGCCAAGAGGGAGATGGACAAGGGAATGAAACAATACCACGAGCAGCGCTTTGCGGAGGCTGTGGACGAGTGGTCAAGCGCTCTTAAGAAGATGACCAAGGCACGGAATAAGTTCGAAGCGTTGGGAAACATCTGCCTGGCGTTGTGTGATCTGGGGAAATATAGGGATGCGCTGACCCATTCGGGGCTTCAGATTGAAGTGGCCAACGATACTGACGACCCTGTACTCAAGTCCGAGGCGTTTCTCATGTATGCAATATGTAACGAGAAGCTCAGTGAGTTCACGAAGGCGATATCGTACTGCCGGTACTGTCTGCAGACGGAGAAGGTCGCGGATCGAACCCAAAGCTACGCCCATCTATGTCTGGGCAATGCATACGTGGGGCTAAGCGAGTTTCCCAAAGCGTGGGGTAGTTACACCAAGGCGTTGGCGCTAGCCAGGACTAAAAATGACAAGTTTCTAGAGTTGATGACCAGTGCAAGGGTGGGACACATGTTTTCATTGCTGACCGATTACGACACTGGACTTGCGTATTGTTGTAAGGCATGGGACGTGGTCAGTGGGTTGCCGGAGGGGGACCCCCATGTCCGGTACAGGCGCCTGCTGGCGGTTTACATCGCCACGCCGTATAGGAGGACCGGGCGTTATAACGAGGCTATGGATTACTGTGAGGTAAGTGAGTTTTCTATTCATTTGATAAGTATTACACGGTTAAATATAATAATGCATTCTGCGAAGTTTACACAAATGTTATGTCAATGCTGACTTGGCGGTATTGCGAACCGATGCGTCCTTGGTCATAATAGTTACTTTAGTATAGCGGGGTATTATGTACATACAATTCTGGTGTTATAACAAAAATTGCTGGTAACCTTTTGGACAGGTTATTGATCTGACGTTAAAACGAAGCGGTTTGAACGATACATTCGTGACAGAAACGCAAGAAGCTGTTGTGAGTATATAACACTATACATTCATATCTCTATTGCGTGAACAACACCATTCACACGTAGTGTATATCGATATCGATCCGGTTACGCTTTGAACTTAAGTCATTCATATATGTAGACCAGCTTTCTGCATCAATCAAGGTCTAAAGCTTAAACCATATGCTATGTCTATTGCTAGTTATTTATTCTGTATTGTGTACAAGAGAGACAACATCCAGTATATCCTTTAGGACGAGAGGTGTATGTATATCATTCAGTGGAATGAAATTAAAGCGACAAAAAACATTTCCATGACCATTAGGAATCTGAACAAATAAAGATGCCATTGTACGATTCCCACTGTATTATAAGGGACTGGTCATTTGATATAGGGATGAGGAGGGAGAGATTCGGGTGGGCATAAAAAACTGACAGCGAAAGAGGGGGAGGGGGGGGGGGGGGGGGGGTCGCCAAATGTTAGGACAGATATATAGGGTTCATAAAACATAACAGTTAATTTTATCAAAACTATAAATTTTAACGTTATTTAAGGACTGACAATCTATTAAAGGAGGGGTTGGGGCATAAGAAATGTTACGTGTAGGGTTGTGTGTGAACCAATGTTACATAAATTAGGGGGTCACACAGACACTCTCTGATATTGGAAACTTTATCGGTATTTTGTCGCCAAGTCCATGCAACATCCCACCGCGAATAATAACGTTAAACGTGGCTTAAATCCATGTCGTTATACAGGCTGAGATTAACGATGTTGACAGTAGATTATTGAGGTAAACACAGGTATCCTCTTGTCATCTTAAGTGTTTGATAAGTGGGAATGTCATCGTAAACGTCACTGTGATATATTGCACGTTGAGGACACAGTGAAATCAGTTAGATAGGGAATGTAATCAATCTCGTCCTTCTTTCTCTCTACTCGTATCCCCTCTGTCTTTTTCTTTCACATTCCTACATATCAGGATCGTGTATAGTTATTAGGATAATGGTTAATATGGTAATGGAGTCGTGATAATGAATGAATATGGGTTATGTACGCTGTAAAATGTGTTCAGAATGTAAACAAATTATACATGACATGATGAGACCTAAACGAGTCAAAATTATGGGACAAGGAACGTGTTTAGGTTTGCGTTTAGGATCTAAACACATCTTTTACAGTGTATCTGGAAATAATTATTTATTTTTTCGCTGATGACAATAATGATGATAATAAAGATATGAATGTGTATGCTCCATCTATTCTTCTTTATCGTTGATGATCAGAATATAAAAACATATTAATCATAAACATGATCATTATATGTATGTACATAACTATTTAATTCTTTGGTAAATCTTTCAACGGTATTATCGCACGTCCACATTAATCATTTGTATCTGAGGGTAAATTGCCAACTTTATTTAATCATTAAGGTAAATGCCTAATGTAATGGCACAAGATCTTGGCTCATAATAACATGCTGCCTGGAGGATTTCGGATAAAATAGTTCTCCAGTACAACTTGCCTCGTAAGAACATCAATGATGATCTGATGTTTACAATATGTGCCATGATTGATTGTGTGGGTGTGCTCATGCTATCGTCCACTGGTTTACCTGGTCCGGACTTTATTATTTCCACCCGTGATACAGCCTTAATATTACTAACTGCGGCGTAAAACACATTCATTCGGTTGCTAGTAGCAACACGTCACGGACAGACCATGCTATAAACACCTTAACGACATTGAAATGTATGTACCGCATTATGTTGCAAATCGACATGTGAAATGTGTTAAACTGGGTGTGCGTTTATGTCAGAGCGACACGCCGGTTGAGAAGTGAAATATTTTGTCCACGTATTTCTCCCGACTATTGTTTTTAGCGCTCATGTTGCTCGACCAGGGCGGAAAATGTGCAGACAATGCATTCCTAAATCAATAATCACATTATTTCTGGGGAAAGACATGAGGGAATTTACTGTTCAAATATACAAATATTTCCGTAATCTATTAAAAGGGTTGGCGAGTCTAAAGCCAAAGGTTCGGGATGAGTGTGACAGAAGCGATTTTCAGACACCGCGCAAAGAAAATACAAGACGCAATTATTAAAACGGCATCAAGAAGATGAAAGGTTACTCTATGCGGGTAATTTACAGTTCTATACATTTGACGGCTGTGTTAACCCTAACTCTCCCCCCACCCCCCTCACAGACACATCTCTAACACACCTCTTATCATCCCACCATCCTCACACACACGCACACACACACCCAACCCCACCCTCGTCACCACATTCACTTACCCTATCCTGTTACCCCTTCCCCTTGTCTGTCATACAGACTCCTGAAACAAATATGTCCAATACAGCCCATACAAGTCTATAATGTTTGGCAAGTCTAGATTACTGCAGTATCTGAAAATGAAGAAAGTCTCTTGGCTCCTTTTTATTATATTTTATAACTATAATTTAACAACGTTTTTTTTTGTAAAATATGTTCATTTCAGAGACTAGATGTTAGTCTACCCTTTCCCCTCTCCCTGACTTTGTGGTCTTCCCTCCCCTTTCCCACCCTCGACCTTCCCCTCACCATATCCCGGATCTTATAGCATAAGGGACTGGTCATTAAATATTGGGATGGGGGAGATTCGGGGTGGGCACAGAAAAATGACAGCGAAAAAGGGGGTCGGCAAACATTATCACAAGTGCATGGGGGTCATAAATATTATGACACTTATATATTTTTTCCAAATACAAATATCAATAATTTGTACATTATGTTGGGACTGATGATTTATTAAAAGAAGGAGGGGGAAGGGGGCATAGGAAATGTTACTTGTAGGAGGGGGAATGAAAAAATGTTCCATACATGAGGGGGTCGGCAAAATGTGATACAGTCCTAGGACCAATAAACACCATCACACCACCACCACATCACCACACCACCACCACACCACCGCCACACCACCACACCACCACAACTACCCCACACAACCACCACACCACCACCACACTACCACACCACCACCGCACCAAATAAATTAAAAGTGGTTAAGTACAGTAAACTACGTTTATAACGAACACGCTTATAACGAACTGACGGATATAGCGAACTTACTTTTTTGTCCCGACTATTTGCTGTAGTTATGCTGTATATATGCTTATAACGAACTACGGTTATAACGAACTAAAATTAGTGGTCCCTTTGAGTTCGTTATATCCGTAGTTTACTGTATGTGTTTATGAAGGAAAATCAAATATTGAAAGGAGTGAATGAGAGAGTATGGTTTTGCGCCGCTTTTAGCAATATTTCAGCCCGGCGGGGGACACCAGATATGGGCTTCACACATTGTACCCAATGTACCTAACGCTTCATACAGGATACCCCACCGCCCCATATTGAAAGGGAACTATGAAATTATGTAGCATGATAATTCCCTTTCCCTTTCACCCTGCCCCGGATCGCCTCTCTCCTCCCTCTTCCCCCGGCCCAACCAGGCCCTGTCCGACTGACATTGTGTACGTTAGTGTAGACGGTGCGCTAGCCCAGTGGTTCAAGCACTCAAAGGTCGTGCCAAAGGAGTGGGTTCGAATCTTGGGGGTAAACGTGTGAAGTCCAGTCTTTATGTGCTCTGTCGTGATGGTACTGGAATATTGCCGCAAGTGGTGGAAAACTCTACCCACTTAGGTTAATGAGTAATGGTACCGACATAATGTGTTATAACACTGGTTGCCAGGTCTGGTACATCTGAACATGTTATAACATTGGTTGATTACTCGGAACATCTACATATGTTATACCATTGGTTGCTTTGTCCGGTACATCTGCATATGTTATAACATTGGTTGCTACCCCGACACATCTACATATGTTATAACATTGGTTGTCTGGTCGGATACATCTACATATGTTATAACATTGGTTGTCTGGTCGGATACATCTACATATGTTATAACATTGGTTGTCTAGCTGGATACATCTACATATGTTATAACATTGGTTGCCTAGTCCGGTACATCTACACGTGTTTTAGGGGCGCTTGGGTAGCCTTGTGGTTAAAGCGTTCGGTCGTCACGCCGAAAAACCGGGTTCGATTCCCGACATGGGTACAATGTGTGAAGCCGATTTCTGGTGTCCCCCGCCTTGATATTGCTGGAATTTTGCTAAAAGCGGCGTAAAACCATACTCACTCACTCACTACATGTGTTATAACTTTGGAAGGCTCTTTGGGTACAGGCACCAGGCGACAGATGGCAAGTACTACAGGCGCAGGAGTAATGTCAAAAACAAACTATTCGACTTAAAATCACTAATGCCATATGAATGACACTTTAGTGTAAATGCATTATATACAAATCTAGTCGGGAAAACAGATGTGATATCATTACCAGCCTTATTTGGTACATCCTACATGTGTTATGTGAATAGCACTGTTATAGTGGGAGTTACATGAATGACACTCAATCAGGTACAGATTATACAGGGATTATGGACCTTGCTACCTAATCATTTACTGATTGAACTTGTAACATTCTCGGTAATTGATCGAGTGCTGATTGCAGCTGTAATGCTCTCGGTAACTGATCGGGTACTGATTGCAGCTGTAATGTTCTCGGTAACTGATCGGATACTGATTGCAGCTGTAATGTTCTCGGTAACTGATCTGGTACTGATTGCTGCTGTAATATTCTCGGTAACTGATCGGGTACTGATTGCAGCTGTAATGTTCTCGGTAACTGATCG